CTGTCTATAGAGGTCTCTGTATAACATACACCTATCTATAAAGGTCTACCCATATAACACATCTGTCTATAGAGGTCTACCAATATAACACACCTGTCTGTAGTTTTCTTTAACATACACCTGTCTATAAGGGTGTACCCATATAACACACCTGTCTGTAGCTCTCTTTAACGTACACCTGTCTATAAAGGTCTACCAATATAACACATCTGTCTATAGAGGTCTACCAATACAACACACCTGTCTATAGAGGTCTCTGTATAACATACACCTATCTATAAAGGTCTACCCATATAACACATCTGTCTATAGAGGTCTACCAATATAACACACCTGCCTGTAGTTTTCTTTAACGTACACCTGTGTATAAGAGTGTACCCATATAACACACCTGTCTGTAGTTTTCTTTAACGTACACCTATCTATAAGAGTGTACCCATATAACACACCTGTCTGTAGCTCTCTTTAACGTACACCTGTTTGTAGAAGTCACTCTATAACACTCACCTGTCTACACTTTGTATATTTATATTTATCACAACATAAACCCCTCTATTGGTTCCGATTTCTGTATGAAAATATATCACCTATCACCTATCTTTATAGCAACATATATCCACCTGCTCATACACTATTGTTTTATTTTCCCCAAACCCCTCAGGCCCCAGGATTGAGTCAGGGTATTTTCATACCATGAAACTGCAATCTTGTGATAACAGTGCCAACAAAGTGTGAATTTTTTCAAACTGAAAATAAAATATACCAAGTGTTATTTCTCCTGTCTAAAGTTTACCTTGTCCTCACCAATGGGGAAAAGCTAGGTGACATGGGGTAATGGAGTCACAATTTTGATAAGGAAGCTTTAATAGGACCTTTTCATCAATGAAGAGTATTTGAGTCTATAGGGTTTTTCTTATTTAATTATTTATTTTTATTTATTCATTTATTTCCAATTCAACAGACCCAAGGGTCCACTTACAGAATGGATAACAACATTACAACACAAGTATAAAATATCACAGTCAGTTATGCATGTAACATAGACTAAAAGATACTCATATGTAAAACAAAAGGGATTAGTGAAAGCAAATATTCTTTAACCGTACTTTGAACTCAGCGAGAGAGGAACGAAACATATCGCAGTCTGGTGCAAAATCAAGAGAGTTAAAATTACATTGAATCCTGTTTAAAATAATATACTTTCTAACGTTTATTCTACTTCTCTGGCAGTAAAACTGGTTGAAACGAATTGATAGTAGATTACGACCAGGGACTAAAAACAAATTTGCTTGACTAAATATGAACAATCAAAAGCACTATTAACACATTTGTAAAGAAATACACAGTCTAAAAATGCCCGCCTATATGTTCGAGGCTAGGAAGATTAAAATGCCTACTGTGTAAGATTATTAAAATTTAAGCCAATTGGACTCCATGAATATAATTTGGACCAAATTTGAATTGAAAACAAACAAAATACACCTTAAAGTGTTGTCTTTCCTATACATGAAAATTATTTTCTTACATAACTGGACATGTAAGGCAGATATTTCCAAAGATGGAAGGCCAGGTAAGAAAATTGACCTTACATGGGCATGATATTACAATGAAAAGACAATGAGATGATGTCATGTCAATGTTTTTTGCTGGATTTTTTATTTTTTATTTTTAACTTTAATTAATTGAATGCAGTCATATTGATAAATAAAAGTTTATACTCAAATAACCCAAACTGTGATGTGCCCTTTCCAAAAGTGTAGAAATTTTAAGATTGGTAGGGTATTGCATCTCTATCAAATAAATCAGTAAGCAATGCAAGAAAATATCTCTATCACATGTAAATCATGTAGGATAGTAATGTCCAACTCTTTGGTACATAACTTGGGCCCCAAAACCCCAGCAAGCCATGTTTTTTGCCCCAATTTATGTACCTAATATTTAAGTGGGTTCCACTGTAAACATACTGATATTATACAGACATATCATAAACCATAAAATACTGCATATTTTACCCCCTCTCAAAGGAAAAATGAAATTCACAATTTTCATGGTTTTTTTTATACAATATCATAGCATATGTTTCTTAAAGTAGGCATGAAGAAGATTGCTGAAAATTTGGGTGAAATTTTAGACAATTTGGTCATTTTGGATTGGTGGGTTGGGGGACAGTTGAGGGGGGTGAGAACTATAAAATTTACAAATTTGACTCATCTTTTGATCATGCAAGTAACCTAACATTTTTATAAATTGGTAAACTGGTTACAGAGATACAGCAAAAAAAATATAATTTGTTTATGGATGCATGAGGCACAAAAATGGACAAAAGACAACCACAATAGGTCATGAGACTTTATCTCTAGCAGGGGTTTACAACATTACCAGAGTCTAGTAACCGAAATAAGGTTCATTTGGATTAAATGTTACAAAGGTATATGTTATCTCGGTTTTATTTTTAACAACTGAGAGTTCCAAGTAATCTTACTTCATTGTTGGTTAGCTTCGCCACCACCATGCGCAGTATCATGTAGGTCCATATGATATGGAGCACTTGGAGGGCACAGAGTAAACCATTGAGGAGCCAGTACACAGGAAATATAGTCGTATGTTGAAGGGATTGGACGCACCCAGACCATACTATCCTGTAATACAGAAGAGATAAACATATGTCATGTAACTCGACCTAAAGGGTAGATAACTCTAATTTATATACTTTATTACTGTTGCTTTGATGTTCTGTGTAACAAGTGTCAGTCCAAGAGGGTTATTTCAAATGGAGGTAAGATCAATAAATTAAATCTGATCTTTTTGCTGGATTTATTTGCAGCACATTTGAACTGTATTTGTAGGTCTGATCAAAATGTTGGTCAATCACCATATTAGGAATTGTCAAAACAGTTGATAAACAGTTTCAAGTGTATTGTACTAGGCAGGTATTATCGAAAAAAAATAACGAAAAAAAATATCCACACTTAAATAGATATTTACAGATTATATAAATCGCAGATATATAGATATCAAAACCATTACCATTATAAAAATTTAATTGCAATTTGTGATCAGTTTAAAGAGTCATGACGCGAAAATATCCACATGCAAAAACTTCCACTTTTACAGTATTTTGCTCAATGTTGAACATACCAGGTAGCTATATAGTCTTACGTTAGTCTGTAGGTCAGATTATCTTTTAAGGAAATTATTGAGTGGAAACAGCTAGAATGATACTAGCAAAGGGGTGGGCTTATTAGTGATCATTGTTTTATCAACATCAGTATCTCACCTGAAGGGGTAGATGTACAGCCTGGTATAAAACCATATCAAAAGGAAAATTCCAAATAAACCATCTGCAGTTTTTGATTTCTTCAAATAAAGAGCCATCTTCGCACCCTGAAATCAGAATAATGATATAGTTTTCTTTTTACAATAATGTTACAGTTTCTGACTTTCTACTTCAAACCTGTTAAACTGTACATACAGAACATTATATACACATATATTTTCAATTTCAAACTGCAGCATAGCCATAACAAGTCAGGAGTCCGAAAAAAACACTTGTCTGGCGTAATGGATGAATAAAAATTGTCTTGGACAACTAGATTTCTCAGTTTTTCTTTCTGCTGAATTCATAACTTAATGTTACATAAATAAATTTATTAGCAATTGGAAGAAAATCTGCTGCGTATATTACAAATAGATAAATCAGACAAGTGAATTTCTTAGGCCAATTGTCCTGTGCCTAGTGGTTTGTAAAACTTTTCCCGTAGTTGGACAGTTTCGACCACTACAAAATTAAGGTCACAGCACTTTGTGCCAGTGAGTTAAGCTACACACTCAGGCACTCTTAGTAAGCCTTATTCCCATGATTGTTAACAACAGATAACGTTTAATACATACTGCCATCCAGAAATCAACTGAATCATGAACGAGCAGGACCATTGTGCCCAAACGGAGCTGGTTGCAGGCAAAGGAAAAGTAGATGAGCAAAATGGTAACAATGTGATGAACGACCATTTCTACGAAGTCCTTCCTCTTATGATCTGTCACCAGGGTAAACACCAGGTTCCAGTAGAAGGCTAACTCTATCGTATAGTACCAGTATACATCATTGGGCACATGCTGAAAGAAACAATCACACAGGTTAATATTTTCAGTCAATGGGGAAAAATGATTAATTCCTATATTGATACTTCATTCTGGTTTTCACAATTTTGTATATGTACGGATAGAGGTATAATAAATTGTTAATGAAATTGAATGTAAACAAATACTGATCAATGAATGTTGAGGTGAACATGTGGTTATATGGACCTGAGATAGTGATATTGAACCAGATGATAGGCAATCAATAACACTTTGTCAGGTAGATATAACCCACATATTCAACAAAATAGAAGTTTTTCATTGTTATATTAGATGCAAAATAATGTGTTAATCATTCAACAAGGTGGAATGTATGGAAATTTAATAGAGGACAGTACTGCACTTGGTAGGCAGCATTGCAATGTTACAACTGAAATGACGTTATAAAGTGATTACTAACCCACTGATTCTTAAATAACGGCAACATTGAGTCAATATCATAAATTACAAACCTTAATGTTATTATGATTTACGCTGTTTCTTAAAAAACCGCAATATTGAGTCAACATCATGAATTACAAACCTTGATGTTATTATGATTTATGCCATTTCTAAATAACCGCAACATAGCGTCAACATCATGAATTACCAACCTTGATGTTATTATGATTTACGCTGTTTCTAAATAACCGCAACACTGAGTCAATATCATAAATTACCATCCTTGATGTTATAATGATTTACACTGTTTCTAAATAACCGCAACATTGAGTCAATATCATAAATTACCATCCTTGATGTAATTATGATTTACACTGTTTCTAAATAACCGCAATACTGAGTCAATATCATAAATTACCATCCTTGATGTTATGATTTACGCTGTTTCTAAATAACCGCAACATTGAGTCGATATCATAAATTACCATCCTTGATGTTATTATGATTTACACTGTTTCTAAATAACCCAAAACCTAGACAATATCATAAATTACCATCCTTGATGTTATGATTTACGTTGTTTCTAAATAACCGCAACACTGAGTCAATATCATAAATTACCATCCTTTATGTTATTATGATTTACGTTGTTTCTAAATAACCCAAAACCGAGTCAATATCATAAATTACCAACCTTGATGTTATTATGATTTACGCCTTTTCTAAATAACCGCAACATTGAGTCAACATCATAAATTAACAACCTTTATGTTATTATGATTTAACTAATAAAGATGTAGGAAATTATGTATCATTTAATATTGAAATTTATTTACTGTTTAAATATCTGGGGGTTTTATTGCTAGAATTATGTCAAAACAAAGCTATTTACTATTCTAAGGCTTCATGACTTGCATATCACTTACTCATGTTACTGTATTTCAATATGCTGATGTCAACAAAGATACTCTTTGTATCTTTACAAGCTTAAGTAGACAACAGAGACCCAGGCAGTGGCATAGCAAATCATTATCAAAATGTATATTGCTCACAGGGGAAATTCTAGGCCCTAGAAGCTATCTCTCGTATACTGGAAAATCCTTTTAGTCTGATTATTAACAAGTAAAACTTTTTATACAAATAATATAAAATTTTGTACTTCACTAAAAAGTTTTTTATTTAGAATTTTAGAATGAACCTTCAAGGTTTTCCATAACAACACTATTCTATCAGACTAAAACGTTCAAGAAGATTTAAATATAGATTAATAAAAAATATATGGTTCTTTTTTTTGGGGGGGGGGCAGGGTGGGGGGAATTTAGTGTACACATGCATGTATGCTACGCCACTGCCGGGGACCTCTTCTGTTTTATACATACGTACAATGTCAAATACATGTACAGTGTACCAGATCTATGTATATAAAGATGCAGACATTTATTAATGAAAAAAGATTTTCTCCTCTATTCGTTGCCATCATTCGAGATCTGCCCTCAGGGAGCCACATTCTTCATTTATACATGTACAATATTCATTTTGTGTCCTTTAATTAAAATATCTTTACCCATACTGAAATATCAGTCTATTAAATTTGGCTAGTCTTAAATTTGTGTGCAACTTACCTGTCGCCCCATGTCTACCCAAAAGTACTTGGAATCCAAGAAGTATGGTTTCTGAAAGATGAAAAATCGACCATGATTCTCCAGTCCACATTTTTGAAAATTGAAAACAAGAACTGTCGCCTATGGGCTAACTAATACCCCCCGCATTCAGGCTTCTTGTTGCCCCTGTAGGGGCTAAATAAACAAGGGAAAAAATGTAGAAAGATCAAGGGTCATAAAAAAGTCGAACGGTAACCTCAAATGTTGTACCGAAAGACCGATGGAAAAGACAAACACCACTACTGTGACTTTTGACTCAATAACCTCAGAATTTTGTCACAATGCAGCTTGCATCAATGCTACATTTACTCAAAGGTATATGTATACAAAATACCTACCATTTCTGCCATAACTAGCTATTTCGCCTCTTGCCCTTGGAAGTTTGTCACAATATAGTCTGCATAATAGGCTATGATACTTTAATGTATATATGTGTATATATTTAGCCATTTTGGTAACTTAATTCATTCGTGACCTATGACCACTCACCCAACAACCTCAGAAGCTGTCAGTTGAGTAGCTTTCATTAATCCTTATAATATTCCAATGTACATGTATATATGTGTATACAAAATACCTACTGTTTCCGAGATATTTAGCCATTTTGGTAACTTAATTCATTTTTGACCTTTAACCTTTGACCATGACCTCAGAAAAGTAGCTTTCTTTAATGCCTACAACATTCCAAGGTATATGTGTATACCGAATACCTGCCGTTACCAAGATAATTAGCCGTTTCAGTAACGTTATGTACCGCCAACAGAAGTCAAGGGCCATAACTCTGGTAAATATAGAAGGAACATAATGGAGTTCTGGGATACACAAGTTCATTTGAGGTAGAATGTGTGTGTAAAGTTTCATCAAAATCCATGCATGAACCTAGGAGGAACAGGAGGTACAATTTCTGTGTACAGACAGATGGACGAACGGAAAGAGTGATCACAGTATACGTCCCCCTAGCTTCCTTGTGGGGGGTATAATAAACACAATTAAAACTTATAAAGTTATTTGGCAAAAATGAAAATCTTTAATTCTGTATAATGTTTATGATCTATGATTTTGTTTGCAAGCATTTTGACAACACATTTATGCTGAAATAAAGCAGCATGCTAAGATAAATTAGCCTGTGACAATATATTGTAATTTGTGTCACAATACATTCCTTCTGTACTGCCTCATATCATGAAACATTCTAGGCATATTGTAACACAACTAATTATAACTAGGATTATATGATATTCCACAATCATAAATAAGATTTACTTTCACATGAAACAATTCAAGTCTAGGAAGATTTTATTTAAGGGAGTATCTGGCAAGATAGAATATACAAGAGTTTCATAAATCTCATGAAATGGAAATTAGTTCAAATATTATTTTTAATGTAATTCCATTTTTTTATCAAGAATTTTAAAAAACATTCTTAAATCATTCTTGAATTAAAAAAATCCACCATCTTATCCCTATATCTCCATTGTTGCACAAAATATAATCTGGAATTTGGTAATTCTTTAAAAATAGTCAACTTTATCGCAACAGATGATATTTCATGGGTTCATACAGAATATGATGTTGTATTCAGGGAATCACAGATTCACACAAAATCATATAAAATATATACGTATCAGTGATTATATTAGAGAAACCAAAATTAACTCAAAAAATTGAATTGACAAATTAAATACAGGTTCATATCTGAAAATCCATTGACACTTGACTTAAGGATCTTGCATTTCATATGTACATGCACTCACAAATTGTACATCCAACAGGAAGACAAACAGGCTGATACATACAGTATATAAATAAACACTTACATCCCACAGGACATACAGGGTCATATCTACTGTATATAAATAAACACTTACATCCCACAGGACATACAGGGTCATATCTACTGTATATAAATAAACACTTACATCCCACAGGACATACAGGGTCATATCTACTGTATATAAATAAACACTTACATCCCACAGGACATACAGGGTCATATCTACTGTATATAAATAAACACTTACATCCCACAGGACATACAGGGTCATATCTACTGTATATAAATAAACACTTACATCCCACAGGACATACAGGGTCATATCTACTGTATATAAATAAACACTTACATCCCACAGGACATACAGGGTCATATCTACTGTATATAAATAAACACTTACATCCCACAGGACATACAGGGTCATATCTACTGTATATAAATAAACACTTACATCCCACAGGACATACAGGGTCATATCTACTGTATATAAATAAACACTTACATCCCACAGGACATACAGGGTCATATCTACTGTATATAAATAAACACTTACATCCCACAGGACATACAGGGTCATATCTACTGTATATAAATAAACACTTACATCCCACAGGACATACAGGGTCATATCTACTGTATATAAATAAACACTTACATCCCACAGGACATACAGGGTCATATCTACTGTATATAAATAAACACTTACATCCCACAGGACATACAGGGTCATATCTACTGTATATAAATAAACACTTACATCCCACAGGACATACAGGGTCATATCTACTGTATATAAATAAACACTTACATCCCACAGGACATACAGGGTCATATCTACTGTATATAAATAAACACTTACATCCCACAGGACATACAGGGTCATATCTACTGTATATAAATAAACACTTACATCCCACAGGACATACAGGGTCATATCTACTGTATATAAATAAACACTTACATCCCACAGGACATACAGGGTCATATCTACTGTATATAAATAAACACTTACATCCCACAGGACATACAGGGTCATATCTACTGTATATAAATAAACACTTACATCCCACAGGACATACAGGGTCATATCTACTGTATATAAATAAACACTTACATCCCACAGGACATACAGGGTCATATCTACTGTATATAAATAAACACTTACATCCCACAGGACATACAGGGTCATATCTACTGTATATAAATAAACACTTACATCCCACAGGACATACAGGGTCATATCTACTGTATATAAATAAACACTTACATCCCACAGGACATACAGGGTCATATCTACTGTATATAAATAAACACTTACATCCCACAGGACATACAGGGTCATATCTACTGTATATAAATAAACACTTACATCCCACAGGACATACAGGGTCATATCTACTGTATATAAATAAACACTTACATCCCACAGGACATACAGGGTCATATCTACTGTATATAAATAAACACTTACATCCCACAGGACATACAGGGTCATATCTACTGTATATAAATAAACACTTACATCCCACAGGACATACAGGGTCATATCTACTGTATATAAATAAACACTTACATCCCACAGGACATACAGGGTCATATCTACTGTATATAAATAAACACTTACATCCCACAGGACATACAGGGTCATATCTACTGTATATAAATAAACACTTACATCCCACAGGACATACAGGGTCATATCTACTGTATATAAATAAACACTTACATCCCACAGGACATACAGGGTCATATCTACTGTATATAAATAAACACTTACATCCCACAGGACATACAGGGTCATATCTACTGTATATAAATAAACACTTACATCCCACAGGACATACAGGGTCATATCTACTGTATATAAATAAACACTTACATCCCACAGGACATACAGGGTCATATCTACTGTATATAAATAAACACTTACATCCCACAGGACATACAGGGTCATATCTACTGTATATAAATAAACACTTACATCCCACAGGACATACAGGGTCATATCTACTGTATATAAATAAACACTTACATCCCACAGGACATACAGGGTCATATCTACTGTATATAAATAAACACTTACATCCCACAGGACATACAGGGTCATATCTACTGTATATAAATAAACACTTACATCCCACAGGACATACAGGGTCATATCTACTGTATATAAATAAACACTTACATCCCACAGGACATACAGGGTCATATCTACTGTATATAAATAAACACTTACATCCCACAGGACATACAGGGTCATATCTACTGTATATAAATAAACACTTACATTCCACAGGACATACAGGGTCATATCTATTGTATATAAATAAACACTTACATTCCACAAGACATACAGGGTCATATTTATTGTATATCAATAAACACTTAACTCCCACAGGACAAATAAACACTTACATTCCACAGGACATGTACATACAGGGTCATATTTATTGTATATAAATAAACACTTAACTCCCACAGGACAAATAAACACTTACATTCCACAGGACATACAGAGTCATATCTATTGTATATAAATAAACACTTACAACCCACAGGACAAATAAACACTTACATCCCACATGACATACAGGGTCATATCTATTGTATATAAATAAACACTTACATCCCACAGGACATACAGGCCACCAAAAAAGCTCATGATATAGAACAGGAAATGCCAGCTGAAAGTTAAAGCAACAACAAGGTATATTAAAATACAGGCCAAGTCAACTACAAACATCTACTATATAGAACTAACCAGTTGCTGGATGAACTAATAAAAAGGCCAAAGTGCTAGCAACTTTGTCTTGTAGTTTGTTTATTTTTATGTAACAATTACACACCACACAATTTATTGTATTTGGTAGGCATGCAGAGACCATAGGTGACTTTACAGGATGGAAATATTGGAACTTAATCACTCTTACTTCATGGAATACCTAGATATAATCACTACTTGTGATAAGTGTAAAATACAGTACAAAATAAACAATGAATGTGTCCAAGACGAAAACTCATCTCAACATCAGATCAACAAACACTGATTACAGGGACAACATCCATGGCAATTGTCTGTGGAGTTTCGTCCAATATAATTCTTTATAATTTTGCAGACATCGATTGAAAATATCTGTGAAAATCCACGGCCAAGTCCATAGAATATTAACATCCACAAAAATCCAAAGACAATTTTAATGTCACAAAATTTGATGGAATATTAATTGCTAAGTTGCTCTTCCATGGAAAATCTACAGCCAGAATCAGTGAACCCCTCTCCTGTTTTGGTCAGTACCAGTGTAGAAGTCATTTCTTTCCCCGTCTGAAAGTTTCCCCTGGGAAGAAATAGGCTAGCTGATTTTTTCCCTGGAGAAATGAATCAGCTAGCTGATTTTTTCCCTGGAGAAATGAATCAGCTAGCTGATTTTTCCCCCTCCAAATTAATTTTTTCCCTGGGGGAAGAAATCAGCTAGCTAGTGTTTGCTTATGGGGAAAATTGTTGACTAGCCAATACTTTCCCCCCTCTGTATTAGTTGTTAGGGGTGAAACTATTGGCTAGCTGATTCTTTCCCCCCTCTGTATTAGTTGTTAGGGGTGAAACTATTGGCTAGCTGATACTTTCCCCCCTCTGTATTAGTTGTTAGGGGTGAAACTATTGGCTAGCTGATTCTTTCCCCCCTCTGTATTAGTTGTTAGGGGTGAAACTATTGGCTAGCTGATACTTTCCCCCCTCTGTATTAGTTGTTAGGGGTGAAACTATTGGCTAGCTGATTCTTTCCCCCCTCTGTATTAGTTGTTAGGGGTGATACTATTGGCTAGCTGATACTTTCCCCCCTCTGTATTACAATACAAATTGCTCACTGATCAGTCATAGCTTGATAAACGGACCATGCCAGTTGGTCTTGAAACATTGTGACACATTTCATGCATAAATTGACTGTGTATTTCCAAACACATGAATGCTATTGAAGACACAAAAAAGCACTTTAAATGGTGTCCAAATTTAACACAATTTCTATATTATCTGTGGAGAAATTAAAAATACCATGAAAAACATGTTAGTGGCCTATGCTACCTGTAATACTACATTTTGTAGGTCACTGCTGAACACAATCTACATGAACAATACCTAGCCATTCAGTACTTCAGCATGCGCTCATGAAAAGTGACTTTGACAGCCTGACATATTAACATGCTGAATTGAGATTACAGATAAAGACTACAAGCACTGCAGGGAAGGTAAGCACCTTGTAAATACTGACAGTGCGACAAAGACTGTGACAGGTACCAACAGCAATGCCTGATAATTCATGCCAAAATGTTTTGAATCCAGTAAGTAAAGTACCGCTATTCGAAAATTACTTTGGTACATATGCCAAGAGTCTAAGCGAGATATATATTTATCACATACTGTAATGACTAAATGTGTTATCCAGTGAATATACCCATGTCATATTTTTTTGCGTATTAACCCATGTTTTATGACCTATCAGCCCTGTGATTGGTTGTAAGTTTCAATTGTTACGTCAAGCCTAGAACAAGTACATGACATCACAGACTTACGCACTGGAGTCAAACTAAAATGGCGGCTTTTTACATTTCAAGGTTGCATGAAAATTGTTGTTTTACAAAAATAAATACCACAAATATTGATTATGTAATAAAAAGGATCTTACACTCGTTTTCATTTCATATGAAATTTATGAAACTTGTCACAAATTTTGTATTTTAGCTTGCCAGAGTCTCGCTAAATTGAAAAATTCTTAAACTCGTTTCATAAATCCCATATGAAATGGAAGCTCATGTAAGATCTTATATATTCACACTCAGACTTGTGAAACCTTTTGCTGTTTGTTTTTCTAACAATTTATAAGAAGAGAACTTTGTTATTTTGTTTTGAAATACAGCTGTATATAAAAATCCATAGTATTGGTGTTTTAGTATTAAGTTTGGATCATAATGCATACCTGCATTCCCTGAACTTTTTTATCCTGCCTGGCATTTCTTGATTGCGTCTGTGTCGGAACCATCTTTGTATCTGTCTCTCTGTCAAACTGGTTTTTTTGGCCAGCTCCTGTTTTATGATACCAGAAAAATCTACATTTCATCTTTTATATACATATATACACATGTATGCTAAATATGGTTACCTGATTATATACATCAGTGTTCTTATACAGTATATATATCTATTTTATTCACTTGAGTTCACATTTATGAATTCTGTACTGTAATTAGCCTTAGGTTACAAAGTAGCCAAAGGGATAAGAGATAAAATCAGCATATTACATAATTAAACGATAATTGGTTTTAGTTTCTGTTTATGTATCCTTATAATGTTGTAGTGAACCTTCTTTCATAGTGACTGCTGATCTCTTTGTTATATTGTGACATGTTATTGTTCATCTTTCTGTCTTGAAAGAGGGTGGGTTGCACTGACAATTTGACAAATTGATTTGTCTGCACTGTTGCTATTACTTATTTGCTTATGAAGCAATACAGGGTACACCTACATGTAGTGAGCATTTGTTTGTTTGGATCCATTGTCCATGCATATTGGACAATACTTTTGTTATTATGGTCCATACTATTGTTATTACTTATGAAACCTTTTCAAATTTTTTTCATATACAAATTGTATACATGTACAAGCTAGGGTGTTTACAGGTAGTCTCATATTTTGAGTACCATTCTATAGCTCACATTCAAATTTTGAAAAATCCTGCTAGCATGACCCATATTATTATATGACATCTATATCTACTAGCTCAATGGACTGGTGGAATTGTTTAACTCTGACCTGCACTGATTTTCCATTCTTTCTACCTCCTATGATAAACAAGACCTTTCTTTTCTGATGATGATTGTATATATTGGCAATGTACCTTCTTTTGACCAAATACAATACAACACTAATAATGATTTTGATTGATTGGCTTCTGAACCAGGCTTCATCCAAAATTCTCTTTTGCAAACTTAAGATTTTGGCAAGACTATCCTTTCTAACAGTTCTGACATCTCTACAAGGTCAACAATCAACATATTTATCAAGACAAATGATTTTTCTTAAAGCAATATAAACGTGAAACAAATATAGTACATGTTTCTGTATATATTCAAGTCTGATTTCAATGGTTAGTGATCATCTGTACATGTAATGATTACCTCCATTTGGTCCTGTTTAGGGAATTTGGCAGAAGCATACTGAGTTTCCAATGTAGGTTTTTTTTCCACAGCATAGTACTTCTTGAACTTTAGGCCCATATATACAGCAAACGGTACCACTAGATATCTATTAAAAAAGAAAACATAACAAGGGTTTAATTTTCTAGTTTGATCCATATATACTATGACCATATATATGCTGTATCCTCCATGTTATCAAGTCCCGATACTAGAATAGCTTACAATCTTTACAATGTTGTCTATAAATTACTATGTATATGCTTCTTGATTTCATATTTTAAGTATTGATAATATAATTGCATTGTGTCCATGTACAATTAATATACTACACATTTTACAGCAACATGTTTGGCAGTAATTATGCTAGAATTGTATTTCAAGTCTTTGCAATATTGACTTTTAATTATATCTGAATTCATATTCATATATAATGCTATTACTCGATCTGTATATTATTGCCGTAGATTGTAGAGAAGGCCTCAAGGGAAAATAGTTTTGTAACTAATTGATCTACCTTCTATAAATAAAGCATTATTTTTATTATTATTAATTACATACCTTTCATAAAGATGTCGGACTCCAAGGAGAACAATTCCTAGTACTAGGCTTGGAAGGAGTATGTGCCTTTCTAATGGATAATATTCACCAGGAGGTGGATTTTCAAAGGTGTCCCAGGTGACATTAGCAGGCAGCCAAAAACTTTCACTCCAGAACCAATCTCGGAATGCTTGTATGCTCTCCATGACTTTTACCACCACTTAAAAATTGGAGCACTCCAGTTTCACCAATACTATAAATGTCAATGATGTTTCTTGAGCTTTATAACTACACTATAGGAATGCACATGCTGACATGCTATGGAATAGGCAATCATGCATGTTTTCACATGTACTCATATCAATCAGATCACCAGCACAATGCATGCACTTATACAGGGTAGGATTACATAATGCCATGCAATGATACCCTCAGGTAGAAGCAATACAGTCTATACAGTATGCAGAAGGATATATAGCTTATTTTGTAACTTATTAATTATTATTATATAGCTGTTAATAGGACGCTAAACCCGATAAACCAAACCAAATCATGGAGTCCTATGGACTCGGGTATGGACTGAACAGTTCACTAGACATCTGTCACTCATTGACCTTATGTTTCTGTATTCATCAAAAAATATTTATAATATCAATTATCACCAATACAAAGGATATGTACATGTAGGATGGAGCATGAACATCTAGATTCCATGTTTTATTTACGGTTTGCATGTTTCGGCTAGCCGTCATCAGAATATCACCAATGTCGTTATCACCAGTGTTTCTGCTGTCACTACAAAGCCATTGTATATCAGTTGATAAGGAAAAAGTGGTTGAGTCCAATTCTTTTTAATATCAAATAAAGTATGTTTAAACTAAATTAAACTATAAATTAACATGCACTAAGTAATTAATGGGTTCTGGTTTGGTCTGCAAATTAACACAGAACTTTTTCATTCTGTGTCTTTCCAGATTTAAGAATTTTGATAAATGATGATCCACATGCTGTCCTCGATATTTGATCGTAGAGCTCACCTGTAACAGGTTCTTTCCAGTGTTGTACACAATAGTTTACAAGAGTTTAAGTTTAGCTACAGTCACCATTCGACATAATCAAATTTAAAGAAGAAGATAACATGGAGAAATAGGCAGTGGCGAAGTTCATGATCACCTACATAAAGTAGTACAAAATAGAAAGATTTCTAATACCTGGTAATTATGTGTACCACAAGTGTTTTTCCCCGTGGAACTAAAGAGCTATAGACGTAAACATAATGTGGTGTGATCATTTCCAAGGCTGGCGTGATGACCCTGGATCTGGAGTCCATTTTCCTCTCAATCCTGGTGATCTTCATGTGATAAGGAGTCATGATGCATCGTCATCGCATACATTGTATGGGTAACTATTCGTCGACTTTCCTTCAGATACACATCTTTTCCTCCACAACCCCTTTGAATAGATCTAGTTTTAGATCTGTAATCCCTACACAAGATCATTGTATGTGCAAAATTCATTCTGTTTCCAGTTACCATGTACATAATCTGTACACTGTATAGTAAAGTCTGGGTATGTAACTTCTTAGCTTAATCGAGGAGAGGAAATTTTCCTGTTTCTGTATGGAAGATATTGTTCTGTTGGGGTCTGTACGTATCGCAGGTGATTCCTTGAAATTTCCGATCAACGACATTAATGTGGACTTGGTATTCTGCTCTGACACTGCATTCTAGCGAAAGAAATATTAATTTTGATGCTTTACACATGTACATGTACAATACAAAATACAATCACAATGCAGGACTTTATAATTAAGGCCAAACAAAAAATATTTGGTGTTTCTACCTACCCTTATTTGTTGTGCCTATACCCTAAACTTTTGAAGGCAATTTTTAAATAAGCACTGTTAAAGTCAACCCTTAATTTTTCCAAAATGTTAAAGAAAACACATTGTTTTTGGTCTGGCCTAAGGATAAGAAGATATTTGGTGTTGTATCAGAGTTTAGGCCATCCTTTAAAAAGTAATCTTGCAGTTTCCTGACCAATTTGCTTAAAATGGCACCTACTTCAATTGTTTTAAAATTAGGGGGGGGGGGGGGTTGGGAAAAAAAAAAAACAAAAGAAACTTTTAGAAAAATGACGTTTTAAGTAGAAAACAAGAGGCCCAGAGGGGCCTGTATCGCTCACCTGAATATGTTTAAAATAATTGGTATGAAGTTAAGATATAGCACTCCATGGTGGGTGCTGTAAGTACACATGAAATTTCAGAAAATCCATCAAGTACTGAGATATCACAAGAACAAACTTCAAACAAAGCCCCACCCCTATGCCCTAAGGGGGTCAAACTCACCAATTATATAAAATTGAGTCCCCTTGACCCAAGGATGCTCCAGACTAAATATAAATAAGGATAAAATCCCTTAATCCTGATGGTCAAAGAAGGATTTTAAAGGTTTTACCTCTATTTTTCATATTGGGCCCCGCCCTTCTGCCCCCTGGGAGACCACACCCACTGCTTATACGAAATTGAGTCCCTTTTGCCTAAGGATGCTCTAGACTAAATTAGGATAATATCCCTTAATCCCTATGGTCCTGTAGAAGAAGGATTATAAAGGTTTTACCTATATTTCCCCAATTGGGCCCTGCATAGTTCACCTATGTATGTTATTATAATACTGCAACGAAACACATGCATAGTAAAACGTTGATATAGTGCCTGTCATTTTATTTGCCACCTCACTTGTACCACCAGGATATTTCAAGGACTGTTAAATGTGTAGAAACATCCATGTGAAGTGATTGTTAAGAAATTAACAAAGTCCAATTAATCTGTTTTTGGAAGCTAAAATATGAAAATATTGCCCAGAACATTGCTAACACTGCATATAAATGCTTCAACCTTATAATAGACAACAGCCTATTGATGGTGGTTGTCCAACACTGTCTGGAAAAAACTTGCCCAAAAACTTTAACCTCAAATTTAACTAAGTCCAATTAAGTTGTTTTTGGGACATAAAATATGAAAATATGGTCCAGCACATTGCTTACACTCAATATAAATGACTTAAACTCATAACAGACAATGCAACTGTGTATTGAGTGTGATGATCCAACACTGTCTGGAAAAAACTTGCACCAAAACTTTAACCTCGGAAGGTGGGACGCCGACGCCGGGTTGACTACATTAGCCCCCCTATTCTTTGAATAGGCGAGCTAAAAAGTAGACAAACACGTTGTTAATGCACATTTAAAGATTTATTTAATTTTTACGTTAACTAAACAATTGCGCTTAAAAAAAGCTGCGTTGTAATTTTGCATTCTTAAGTGAAAAATGTAGTTCCGTCATCAGTTGTTTTTCTTTTTAGGTATATACGATATATACAATGTCCCAAAAAAAATATTATGGGGGAGATATAGGCAAAATTAAATTCCTCAAAATTTGTTCCCCTTCACCCAAGAATGCTTCAGACCAGATAGTGACCGAATCCTTTCATTCCTACAGAATAAGAAGGATTTTAAAGAATTTGCTATATTTCCCCTATTGGGCCATGCCCCTCAGGCCCCTGGTGGGTCAGACCCACATTTATACAAAATTGATTATTTTTCACCAAAGAATGCATCAGACCATATACATTTATTGTATGGAACAAATCCTTTCATTCCTACACAAGAAGAAGGATTTTACAGAATTTGCTATATTTCCCCTATTGGGCCCCGCCCCTCAGCCCCCAGGGGGGCCAGACCCACCGTTTATACAAACCTTGTTCCCCTTCACCCAAGGATGCTTCTGACCAAATCTGGTCAAAATCTGCGAAGTCAATCATGACTAGTAGCGTTTTAAAGGAAAAGTTGACGGAAGGACGACGGACGCTGCGGTATGGCATATTAGCTCCCCATGGTCCTTCGGACCAGGTGAGCTAAAAACCACCTACACCTATAGCTGTAGCTACCCACTAAAAAAGTGTGAAAATGGAAACTGCAAACAATATGTTTAAGGATGGCCTTGGATAGTTCCAACCCTAATAGAGGCTCTGTCACCAGGCAGCTTTATATATATTTGTACATGTGTAATTCTATACAGCTACTTTTTCCCCATGCATTGACTAAAACTAACTTATTGTTCTATGATAGCAGTAGCTATATATTCAAATATATTTTCACATGTGCTCTGAGCTGTTTTTTACAAACAGGCATGCGTTAAAACTTCCTCATCGTTCATACAGGCATTTTACTATGAAATTCAAGGTGTTTTTATGGCAATTTTTTAAGGTAAAAATAAGTCCTAAAACTTCCTGCCATTTGCAAATTCTTAAAACTGTGACCTGGATGTCTCTGAACTCATTATATAAACAATAAACATCACAAACTGATCAACCTTTGAAAAAATACTGATGATGCAGAGGCGGACACAAGGGTGTCACCAGCACACCACCAACCAGGTGCCCCCTGCCCTTAACTAAAAAAATATACAATAGTATATACTCGTCTATTCAGGGGTTTTGCCAGGTGTTTATAGGGTCCGGTACAGGGACCCATTTCCAATTGAAAAATGACCCTGCATTTTCCTAATTTCTGTGTTTATTTTTCCAATTGGATTAAAAAGCATGTTTATACAAGTTTCCAGACGTTATATGTGCAACATTCAAAATATTACCATCCATGAAGGGAGCATCCAAAATACAACTTTTGCCAAACGCCGATGATATTTTCCCATTCCCAAAATAGCTGGCAAAAACCCTGCTATAGTGCAACATCCCCAAGATCTGTTTTGTGTGTGCACACTGTAACTGTAATGTGCATATCAATATTTCATGCTTTAGGTTATAGCTTATCTGAATTTAATATTTTCATTTCTTGACTAGTGATTCTAGTTGTGTGTTAATATACACTGCCCAACAATGGCCACCTCAAGCTCCTCTCCTCCAACAGGTTGAGCCTGTTATTGAATAGTTTAATGACACTAATTGATACCACTCCCCAGCAAAACTTAAGTATAACAGAAGGGTCAGTGAATGATGAGGAAATAGTTGTACCTGTGAGTTCAGTGGTCTGTAGTAGCCACAGGGCACAGCTAGGTGTAGCAGCTGAATAATGTTTTTATTAAATATGTTTGCAAAAAGGACAATTAAAATGACATTTCTATGTACTTAAATCAGGAAACTTTATGAGAATGTGTAATATCAATAAATGAACATTAGCACAATTAAAAAGCATAAATAAGAATCAGATCCAATGATTGGGAGCGTTCATCAATATCATTCATCCAACTTAATAATTTATACACAAAAAAAATACAGCAAAAAGCACCTGAAATTTCCTATGAATATATATGAGCTATTCTATGGAAAGATGATCATATTCTGATCACTGACAGTACTACTTCATGTACGTGAAGATTTTGATTGCATATAATAAACCATTCACATTTTTTAGACATTTTCAGATTATATTTGGAAATTTTACTTTTATTCTGATTTTAATTGACCATGCAGAAACCAAACTAGGATCAACTTTTTTCTAGGAAAATTCATGGTGATATTCTTATTATTCATTCAATTCAGGCACTTTATGAAAGAAAACCCACAAGAGCAAAATAAAAATTAAGGAAAGGTTGAGTCCCTGAAAAGGTATGGGGCCAAGACTGGTTTACAGGTATGTCGCGCATATCTAACTTGATTTTGTGCAACATGACATCACATACATCAACTGGAAATCTTGATGGCGACATCCCCCTGAAACTATTCTGGATCCACTCCTGGTCTTGCAATATAAATAACATAAGATGTTTCTCTGTATTCTCTGGGGAGTCATCCCTAAAATCTAATTTGGATTTAAAGTAAATTTGTAATCAGTTAAAAAAAATATAAAAAAATGTAGTACACATGTATCACTATATTGCATAAATCAGTAGTATTTTAATTGATCCCAGTGACGTATATCTAGATTCATAGATCTAGACCAACTAATTTTTTATTTAAAAAGGTCATGTCCAAATTTCTATTCAACATGTGTTTAGACTTTATAGTTCAAGAGAAAGCTTCTTGAGTTATAATTAATCATAATTTTATTTCAAAAACTGTCAGATTTTTATAGGAATTGTATTTTTTTTATCACAAATAATAAAACTATTCATTAACATTACAATTTGGATACCCAAAATGTCATTATTAGATATATTGCCTTAAAAATGGTATGCGGATCCCGGATACTTGCTTCACAACCAGCATAATACCCATCCGTTATCCGTATAAAATTATATTCCCGTAAAGGGAGGTAACTACAGCGCTTGTCGGCGAGATGCTAACTCAACCAAAGCCTGTGAAGTTCAATGAACAATCAACATGTTATTAGGTATATCAGTATTTTACCAATGTGTTATTCAAATCGTATGTTTGGTACTGTCAGATAAATTGTTCATATTTCGCAAATATTTTATCAGATTTTATAGTAAAGTTCAGTAGGCCTCCTCCTCTAGTTACTCCCATTAGGGGAAAAAAGCGTGCAAGACATTTAAAGCAAACAAATTACACCAAAAGCTCGATACAATAAACATATTTCCCACGTTTATACTGATATAAGCAATTAATACATGTCAATAAAAAAAAACATTTACGTAAAGTTCAGTGCTATATATTCACAAAATACCTGTTACGCCGCCATGTTGGGATGTTTCACAACCCGGAGTAGGATTGACATGCACTCGGAGGCGGATTCGAACCTTGAAAATATCTAACCAATATTTGTAATAATCATCGATTTAATTTTTATCAGTATGGCGAATATTGAATATTAACTTGCCGCATTTAATATTCAGGTCATAACTGTGATGATATAATGATTTTAACTACTGTGCATATAGATAGTTGATGTGCAGTTGCAACTTATGGTAGCCGGGGGGGGGGGGGGGTTTTTTTAATGGCCCCCCCCCCCCCATTTTTAGTGGCAGTTTGCCAAATAGAAACAGTAAAATAAAAAAAAATTCCAACATAGAAGAATTATAAATACAGTACATTTCACCTAATATCACGTCTGTTAATGTCACTTTTTGGCTATTATCATGTTTTTTTGATGCACCGTTTTTCCTGCTATATAATATATGCAATTCAATTCTTTTATTATCACCTGATTTTATATCGATTTCTCTTAATATCACTTTATTTTGGCCACCGTCACAAAAAAAATACAGGTAAATGCATGGTGGTAATGATTCATTATAAATGCCCTGGGGACCTTCTGTCACACCCTGGACGCATTATGTAAAGAATGCCTCGGCCTAACAGGGTATTTTTTACACCTACTGACTGTTAAACAATAGTTTACACCTGGCTGACTGTTAAAACAATAGGTTGACTTACATACATTTCTTCTTTTGGGGAGGTGTCAGGTGTCATATTTGGCTTTAATGAATCAATGTGTCACATGTACGATAAAATTTGTTTGTGTGTTTTCATTTACAGAATCAACTATATATATGCGTACGCTCCATTACAGTGATTTGTTTTAGACTTGCGCACTTTCATTTCCGCATTGTAAACTACGAGATCAGAGACAGCGGGATAGTTCGGTTTGAAATGTAACACTTCAGAAGTAAAACTTGACGGAATTACAAATACAAATGCAGACCTGGAAAGACTTTGCCAAGATCTATACTGACCAAAAACAACATTTAATCACTAGGCCCGTCCATATTTAATAACGAATTCACAAAATGGTCCAACCGTTTTGATCGCGTTTAAAAACGAAAGTACGTTTTTCTGAAATAACTTACTCTATTTTTGTAAGCGTGTTAATTGTAAAATAACATAGCTGTATTTGTTATATTGATTACGTATAATATTTATCGATTGATTAAAAGCATTAACTATTAATAAAACCAACAACTGCTAGTGCTATGTCCCAACAGCAAATTTCATACCAAATCTATGAACCCGCATAACTCGAATACTCGGATAACTCGAAGTTTTCCCACGACCCCGTCGACTTCGAGATAACGAGGTTCGACTGTACTTGTTAACTAATTATAACATGTGCACTATCTTCGATTACACACGTGCAGCAAATATCTAAGGAAATTAACCTATGAAAAGATGTTACTAGCGAAAGAACAGTATATATATCAAGATATAGGTAAATATTTACCAAGTCTCATGTTTACAATTGAATTTGATGCAGAATACCAGCCAAACACTTGTATGCCTACATCACTACTGCAGTATAAACAATCATAATTACAATCGTACTGATCGTCATTTAGTCGATAAACGTCAGAATAATTCGGACTACTACACTTGGTATTGGTATCCCCGTTAGTAGCTGCGATAACGTAGCTCTGATCGACGGACGAACGATTTCTGATAGATGGTCGCCTGTCGGAGCAGAGAGTAGGCAGGGTATGAATATTCGTTTTACCTGGTTAAAAGTCCTAGAATTCTGCCATCTTTCCCAAAGTAGATAATTGAAATCGTTTTCACTCGCCAATTTTTCTAGAACATCTGAAAACGCTTTCATTTAAGACGAGATTTCTACACTTTCACTGAAAGTGATCACGAGCTTTCTCCATTTCCAAGGATCCCGGCGACAGTTTAGCAGTTGAAGACCGCTGTGCCATGGGGAAGGTAAAGATCCTAACAAATCCCCCATTTCCCTATTGGTACCATTTCAATCTGTCTGTGGCCAATTATGAATCTGCGCATGCAGCAAAGTGCAATGGCAATGACAAAAACAAAACTTTAGTTGCATCATCCAACTTAATATTTCCGACTGCATCATGTAGAGGAAAGGAGGAACGTAACATACACAGTAGGTGATTGCACATCTGAAATGTTTAATAGGTACGTAATTTGAATGAACAGTACGTCGGAATTAATTATATGCTAGGTACCAAAAGGTTGGAAATGAAAATAGGTCTTACTCAAAACTACTGTTGAAGCAGGGGGAGGGGGGTTACCACAGATAAAATGATAAAATATACATCATTCATAGGTGAGTACTTGTTAAATCAAAATTAAATTAGATTATTACTGAAGAGTACAACCCCAAAAATCATAGCAGTACATATTCTAAATGATTCAATTTGTTGTTTAGGTATTAACGTCCTAGCATTGAAGACGGGTGCCTAAAGAGACACCGCCTGAAAAGAAAGAGTATTTGTCTTTTAATGATGTAATAAGGTACTGTTATGGCTACACAAGTTTGTGCTCGACTCACATTGACCGTGTTTACAACATTCAATAAACTTTTGTCGATTTAAGCAACATAAGAAATCGTGTACTTGTTATAAGTCTTGCACAATGCACTGACTCAAATACACACATACAAATGAAGTAACGGGATGACATACTGTATGCGTGACAAAATTGTCCATGTTGCATTTACAGCTACACATGAACTTTCGATCAAAGACAACGCAGTAACCCCGAGCCCTATAACGTTAACGCTACGCATAACAAACCGGGTAAATCTAATAATAATAATAATGAAGACACAATCAATACACAAACTAGGAAATGGGATGTACACAAACCATATCTTATATATATATATATATATACATCACGTTAATGTTATGTGCAAATCTTGGATAAAGTTAAACATCATACAATTTCCGAAATCACCAAATCCAATACCCATCTTTATACAGAAGTCATAATGAACGGTTTGGTTTGGTTGTATTTGGTTAAGCGTCCTATTAAGAGCTAACGTCACTTCAAGACGCGTCTACGTGTGCGTCAGGTATGGGATGCGCTGGTATATGTTGATGTATCTGTCTTCTTGCGATAGCGCGGATCTGATGTCAAATTTAAAGTGCTACCTTTCTGTGTATTATACCTACTATGCAGAAGGCACTCAGCAGACCATTCCGCCCGTTAATATAATACTGACAACAAGTGAACCAGTTGTTGTCATTACCCTAAATGGCAATCTGATTAAAATCATCTGTTACATGCATATGGCTCCGCCTGAACATCTGAATGTGCCGCGGTCAGGGTCACGTTCAAGTGACCTTTAGATGAACCAATCAGAGGCGCGCTGGCAAAAGTTTGCCAGCGAATCGGAATATCATGGTTGATTAATAAATAGCGAGGGGTATCGAACAGATTAGTTTCCAAAACGAATATGGCGGCGGGAACTGACGTTTCTACGACGCCAAGGAAAACGTACCCATTGGGTAATAATTGCGTAGGCAACACCACCATACAGTCTTTCTTCTCTAATAAAGCTCCGATTTTTATTCTGTTCGGGTTTCAGACGATCTCAAATAACTTCAGAACTTTCGCATCATTCTCATCAATGTCCGACATATTTGTTACATCTCCGAGCGCCCTTTTGAAAGAGGGTCTCTGATTGGTCAAAATTTAATGAGTATTTATAAATATAAAGGTCACCTGAACGTGACCCTGACCGCGGCACACTCAGATGTTCAGGCGTAGTACGAAGTTAACGAAGCCATGTAACATGTGATTTTAATCAGATTG